AATTGGCTCCTGAAAAGAAATCTTTGAAAGGGTAGGTAAGTTGGCCGAAGAAGATAAACAAAAAAAAAAAAAATTGGGGATCAACCCATATTTCTGTACAGAATCAAGAGAGCCATTTTGGCTGGACTATATTTACTGTAACCCAGGAAAAACAAAATGCCTTTTCTTTTTTATGCACCATTTAGGATAGCTGACTGTATTTAAAATCAATACCCAAATTAAATGAAACTAAGACACGATTAGGGAAAATATTTTTTTTAGAATAAGCAGAAGCATAACATTCCTTCTCAAATTTAAACTGAGTGCAGAACAAATGTCTTCCTTAGCCAAATAGAAGAAGTCTAGTTCCTCTAGGCAAAGAATTTCATAGCTAGGTGTGGTGACTAAAAAGGCCCTTCTCTCCTTAGATATGCTCCAACACAGTTCAGACCTAGAAAGGAGCCTCTATACGCACACGTAGAGAGAAGGCCGGCTAGTATGGGAAGAGAAACAGAACACTTTTTGTAACTACATCATATCTCCAACTTCAGGATGAACTGAAATGCAGTCTCTTTTGAAAACATCCCCTCCCCCTTAATGTACAAAAGAAGTTCCTGATGAAATTGCTTCCCACATAGTACCTGAGCTCTTCCAGTACAACACACATTCCATTAAGCTCATCTATAATTCTTAATGGCAATAAATATATTCTTAAATTCCAATTCTGGGTGTGCCACACTATCAGGTTCTTTCCACTGCATAAGATCAATGATACATTACTATAAAGTAGGGTTAATGCTGATGTGGTTGGTTAGGACTGGATAGGAATTAAAGACCTGATTCTTTGAATCCAATGGGTAAGAATTAAGCTGTTTAAAGCAATAATCACTCCTATACACACACACACACACACATACACACACCTTACATCAATATAGCAATATAAGAAAGTATTTACTGTTTCTGCTCTTCTTTCCCAATGCCCACTCCTCCTTATCAATAGAAAATTGTGTGTGTGTATTATAAAAATGTAAAAAATAATTGTGTCCTAAGCAGCTGTTAATCATAGGTGGTAACTAAAAGTAAAGGATATTGTGAAATACATTCAGAAAGTAGGGAACAGAGAATTGTTTTCATAAATTTTAATTAATCCAGCGAAGTATACTTTGAAAGACATAGAGAAAGAGAAGCATATAAAAAAAACAAACCAGAAATACAATCATGTTCAGAATTCTTTTGGTCTTTTTAAAAAGCATATTCAAACAAAAAATCATTAATTTGTACTACATTAATTTTAATTTATCTAGCTCTTAAAAAGCTCAGAGTGATATGATCTCGATATGAAATATCATACATATATAAAAATGCAGAGCCAATTTGGTATGGTGGTTAAGGCATCAGGCTACAAACCAGGAAACTGAGTTCTGGTCCTACCTTAGCCATGAAAGCCAGCTGACAACCTTGGATCAGTCTCTCTCAGCCCATCCCACCTCAAGAGGTTGTTGCTGAGGGGAAAAACAAGAGAAGGAAAGAGTATTATATATTTTTACTGCCTTGAATTATGTATAAAGCAGGATAAAAATGTAATAAAGTTGTTTCCTTCAGTACAACAAATGTCCCCTCAAAGATTCAGACTGTCATCATTTATATTTAGACTGTTCTATCATTTATACAAATATCTCAGAATAGGGCAAATGAAAGGATGCTATTTATAAATAATAAATAAATACCCGGTTGTCTAGTTTCTAAGTAGATGAAACTCAAAGACAAACCATCTAATGACCTTTATGCTTCAACCTACATGTTCTTGCATTTTACATTCTTATGTAATACATTCAAGCACTGTTATGCCTACCTTAACATAATGTAATACAGTACACTGATAGTAAAGTAGTATCAGATCAGTGAGTGGCTTCAGACCAGTCAATCTCTCTCAGCCAAAGCTTACACCATTAGGAGGATGCTGTGAGGATAAGATGTACTCAATGAAAGGTGGGATATGAATAAATTATATCAATATATTATACCGCATAGGTCATGTTCATTCAGCTACTTCCAAGGCTGATCTTGAAAACCTAAATTGAATCAGACAAAGTTAGCACTTGGGTTACTATTAGGAATCTCAGAGTTGTAAGCTAAACAAGGAAGTAAAAAAAAAGTACAGTTGTCCTTAACTTACAGCCATAATTGAGCCCAAAATTTCTATTGTTGAGTGAGACATTTGTTAAGTGAGTTTTGCCCCCATTTTATGACCTTCCTTGCCCCAATTGTTCAGTGAATCACTGCAGTTGATAAGTTAGTAACCTGATTAAGAGAATCTTGCTTCCCCATTGACTTTGCTTGTCAGTAGGTTGCAAAAGGGGATCACAGGACCTTGGGATGCAGCAAGGGTATAATAAGTATGAACCAGTTGTCAAATATCTGAATTTACAAATATCACATGATGATGGGATGCTTCAAAGGTTGTAAGCATGAAAAATGGTCATGTCACTTTTTTCAGTACTGTTGTAACTTTGAACGGTCACTAAATGAACTGTAGTAAGTTAAGGACTCCCTGTATTCTAGAAGACAACAGCACGTTATTTTGTATTCTTACCAAGAAAATTATATGGACATATCCTGGGAGTTGAGCTTGACTCAAAGAAGTCTTTATACCATTACAAACTGTAGTACCAGGTACTACATGAACAGTTCATCCAAGGCTGGAAGGGGTGTAGAGCCCAACCTGTATTGCAATCCCATTTCTAATAAGAAAAAACAGGTAAACTTTAAGCATGACTAAACAAGCTTATGCCTTTTCATTGTTTTCTGATAATCTGAAGTGAGGTTCTTTTGATCAGAACATGTCTGTGCAGTATAGGGTTTTCAATTTATTTTAATTATAGAACTGGGAGGAACGTTGACTTCAAAATATGAGAAATATTTCCTAGATGTTTTGATCATAAAAACAAGTACATCCATGGCCGTATAAAGGCAAGTCTTTAGTTGTTTATATATGATTATGTGTTAGGCAATGTCGACTCTTAGCAATTGTTAGTCTTTGACTTACAACCACAATTGAAGCCAAAATTTCCATTGCCAAGCAAGACAGTTAAGTCAGTTTTTGCCCCATTTTACCACCTTTCTTGTCACAGTTAAGTGAATCACAGTAGTTAAATTAGTAATATGGTTGTTAAGTGAACCTGGCTTGCAAGGTTCACAAAAGATCCCTGGGACACTGCAACCATCACAATACATGCCAGTTGCCCGGCATCAAGTTTTGATCTACTGGATGCTACAACCCGCATGTGAAAACAGTAGTAAGTCACTTTTTTCAGTGCTGTTGTAACTTTGAACAGTCATGAAATGAATGGCTGTAAGTCAAGAACTAGCTATAGATAGATTTTTCTCCATTATGATCTGTCCCCAGCCTGGTCCTTCAGCTCTTCCAACAGTGCATTATCACAATCCCTCTGTGAGCAGGTGAGCAATTTTAAATTTTGACACATAAATAAATTATTGTACTTGAGTCCATCCACCTTGCTGCAACTCCTCTCTTTTGTCAGCATCACAGCCTTCTTCAAAGAACTGGGTCTTCACATCCTATGGTCAAAGTATGATAATTTCAGCCTGATCATTTGTACATTGAACACTAGGTAAATTTGTTCAATGCTCTGTTTGTCTCCTTGACTATCCACGATATTCTCAGCAGTCTTCTACAGTATCAAAGTTCAAAAACTTCAATACTCTTTCTATCCTGTTTTTTCAAAGTCCAATGTTCAGTATATATAGCTATGCAAGTGTGCATGTAAGGAAACATTTTGTGCAGTGATTATTATTGGGAGGTGATCCAGCAAAATACCTAACACTTTTCAAGAGAGCCTTCTGTTATCACTTGTTTCATTCAGAGCCTCAGCAATCCCATACTGTAATTCCCACAATCTCTCAAGCAGCAAAGCAGCAAACTCCCACAATCTCTCAAGCTGGCATTTTAAAACATTCAAACTCATTAACTTAATTGAACTTAATCCACATCACCGGGAGTGGGTTCATAGGTTAAATTATGACATGAGGTTCACACAACTAAGATGGGTTCACACAACTAAGTTCAGACAAACTACTTGGTAGTTTAGTACAATGTGTAAACTGAAGACTGTGACCCTTTTCTAGTGTGATCTAGAAAAGATGCACAATGTCTTTTTAAAGCAAATTGCTACAGTAGAGGCCTCCCCAAACAAACATCCTCCATGGCTGTTGGACAACTCCCAATTTACTTAGAAACTGGGAACCACAGAAGCTGTAGTCAAACACATCTAGAAGTCCCAGATTAGAGAAAATTGTGTCAGTCTGCAAGGAGCATGTGTGGTACTACTAACAAAAGCTTGCTTTCACTGGCCAAAGTTTTTCAGAGCATCTACCCTACTGTGCCATCTATGGAAATTCTCCTCATTCAGGTTATGGTTGTCCCAAAAGTGTTTTTTCAACTGGACTTACTTTGTTTTTCCTTGAATACGTTTCGCTTCTCATTTATATATATATATATATATATATTTATGCCAGTTTATACTTATATGTTTATATGTTATGTTCATACTTAAACTTGTTTTCTCATACATGCTTTCAAACTAAAATAAATAAAATAAATAAATACATAAATAAAGAAGCTTCTTCAGCCCAGCCTAAGCAGCTACACACAGCATGCTCTTTATAGCTGGGTACCATTCAATCGGGCAAGTCCCTGGAGCGTGTGTACCCATTCTCCAGAGATTTTGGAACTTTCTCTACCAGCCTAAAATGACCTTATTCTAAAAAGGATGCCGCCTTCCCTTTCCCTTTCCCTTTCCCTTTCCGTTTCAGCTAGCAAGCCACCGTATCTTCTTGCACCGAAACTCTGGCTGCACGGCTCGTGCGCCCTTAAAGCGCCACACCAACCCGTCCCTCGCCAGACCGCAGCCTTCCGACGAACACCGCAGGCAGGCAGCCCGCCCCCGAGGAGGCATACCCTTTTCGGCTCATTCTTGCAGGCTCCGCCCCTTCCCCTCGGCTCCGCCTGCCCTATATAAAGTGGTGGAGCTCCGGAAAGGGTGCGAGTGTCTGTTGGCGAGGTGGGTTGCGGGACTGAGAGCGGCACCATGGCAGGTAAGCCCGAGTGACGCTTTTTTTTTTTTTTCCTCCCCCGGAAGGAGGCTGGCGGCGGCGGCGGCGCGTCCATTTCGCGACGGCTTCGTCGTCAGTTGCGGGGAGCGGGTCATACATCCGCCAGAGTTTCCTCTCCGCCCAGTGGCCGCGGGTTATCTTCCAGCCACAAGTGACTGACAAGCCGGAGCAGCTGCGGCACTTCCTCGTTCGCGGCGCTGCTGGTCCGGCGAAGGGCAAGGAGAGGAAAGCGGCGCTCGGACAAGGACAAGGAAAGGAAGGCGGCTGGCGGGAGCGCTCGTCCTCGGGAGACCTCGGGCTGCCCAGTTTTACGCATGGCGGGTCCTATTTTTAGGCTGGCGCTTGAGCCCTGTTTCACACACACACACACACGTCCGGGAGGTAGCGGGCAAGGAGTGCAAGTCAGCGCGCGCCCTCTTTCTTTTAGGGGTCTTCGGAGCAGGGTCTGAAGGGGCACGTGCGGGTGACGGGCACCGGCGACCAAATGGGGAATAGAACTCTTGTAAATGCGTGCATTTTGAGGTATCTTCTCTTCAAGCGGCAGCCTTGTTTGTACCGCTGGGGGAGAATCCTTCCGGCACAGATAGACAGTTCTCTGGGGTTGGTCCATGATGTGTCAGTTTTTTTCCCCTCTCTTTTCTCTTTGGGCTGATTTAAAAAAAAATCTACTTAATTGGATAGAAGAGGCACCATTTAAGCAGGATTAGGTGTTTGAAACATATAAATCTGCTCTATGATAAAATTTCCCAGTTGGCAGGTGTTTCTTATCTAGGGCTGCAGATACTGCAACCACTGTTTTGTAGTCTCCTTTTCTAGTGGGGACCATGGTGTGAAGCTCCACCATGCCAATGTGGCCAGAGACACTCTCCTTAATGCCATCAGGCCCTTTCTCCTCTCTTCATTTTCATAATTTTTCTTTTAATTATAAAGCAAGATGAAGCACTGCAAAACAGAGAGCTCCAGAACATCTCTGGACTATAAAAATCAGCTGCATAAACTTTTCCAAAGAATAAATTTGGTGGCTATCCACCTGCTCCCCAGAAATGGCAATGGTGAGTAGAAGTAATAAGGAACATTCTGTCAATTCCAGGGGGACATAACCTGAATATTAATTTTTAAATTTGATACTTTAACACACTCTCACAATGTAGTACAATACCAATTTGAGGGAGTTTAGAGCCTGAGCGTGTTTTCAAAATGTAAAATATACCTATGGCTGAAACATGTTGGGAACCTCACCACAGAACTGTGGTGAATTCTTAATAATGCACATTTAAGCCTGTGGCTTGTTCACTTTCAAGTTAATGCACAAGTGGGTTGCTGAGGAGCCTGAACAACTGAGTGGGAAGTAGGAATCTACTATTGAAAATTAACTATTCAATCAGAACTTTCTTCCATATAACCATAATGCCAGCTACACATAGATGAGAATAATAACACGTAGATGAGAATAATAACATATTCCCAAAAATTTGAGGAATACTTACTCCGTTCTTTTTCTTGTGATTGTTTTTTTTCTTGTGATAGTTCTGCAAAAGTTTAGCCTTTATTCACTCTATCTTGAACACAGTTATAACCTTGGATAGGTATAACTGTAATATCTCACATAGTGTGCTAAATGTTTCCATGTACCTCTGTTTTGCCACAGGTAGCTCTACCTTGGGATTTTAGCCTATTGGCTGATACAAGCTGTTAAGATTCTTACCTATCTAATCACTATCATAAGCATTCACTAAGTGAAGGCCTAGGAATTTCTTGTTTTATTTTATTTGCATGAATGAGGCCTTGCCTTTTGCATTCATCCATTCTTAATATCAACCCTAACATCTCCTGGCCATAAACCAATTCAACTCTGGAATGCTTCTATGCATAAATTATATGACCTGGTTTCAGGCATGTGTGCTGTCTTGTGCTGAGTCAGGATATAGTCTGTCTCCATGATGGTGAACCTATGGCATACGTATCGGAAGTGGAATGCAGAGCCACTTCAGCTGGCCTGTGAGAGGTCGCCTGGAAGAGCCCCACTGCACATCCACGTGCACCGCCCACTTGACAGCTGATTGTTGGGTATATAGTGTGCATGCACAGGGGTGCGCAAGAGATGCACACACATGTGCAGAGATGCGTGGGCATGTGGGGGGAATCTCACGTGCATGCATGGGGGCCCCGTTAACATTGCCTTCTGGGTGCTCGAGCTTATTTAACTCCAGGTGTCAGGGATTAAACATTTTTGAAGCACTTGTTCATTTTATAAAGGGTGCTTTATTAAAAAGCAATACCTTGAGCTTCTGATGATTTCATGGCTTTTCCTAGTTTTCCTAATATAGTCAGTTTGACATTGCTTTCTCGCAGGTTGTGTTTTGATACCTACAGGCATAAAATTACCCAGTGGTCTTCCATCCAAATACTAATCAAGTCTGATATTGCTTTCCAGACAAGGTCAGCCAAGTACTGAAAAAAAGATGTCTTGAGACAATGTACATGGTTATTGTTTGCCTCTCTGGAGGTTAGTATGATAGAACGTGCAACTAGAAAAGGAATTAGGGAGATGAGAGGGATCTCAGCAGGAGCACTACAGTTTCCCAAGGAGGAGGCTGGAAATTCCAATGAGAAGCCCAAATAAGAGTCTGACCAGTCTAGGAGGTTTTGGGAAGGAGGAAGAAATTAAAAGTAGCCACACCATAGAATGTCTTAGGATGTATCTATTATGTTCTACGATTATAACTTTAGCCTGGTGAGATGCTGTCTATTAGATGTAAGCAAATAAACTATTGGACTAGTTTGGATTTCACTGTGTCATCTTTGTGCTTGGGCCTGACAACTAGTGGTAAAAGACACAAGTGACCGTAATGGCCAATGTTAGATAGCCTTGAGTTAAGCTAAATTGTGTTTTCTCTTGAACTTTCCAAAATCTGTGGGTTTATAGCAATAAATGGAAATTGAACTTAAAACCTGTTATTGTGGTGTTACAATAAAGTGATGTAAGCAATGAACACCCTTGGGTAATATTCTTATGTTTATATTGATAACACCCTTGGGTAATATTCTTATGTTTATATTGATACGTTTGCCTTAACCCACACATATCACATCTTCTCAAAGAAAAAATTGATTTTACTAATGACCTTTGAGGAAAAAAATCCCTTGGGAATAAAGCAGCTTTAGAAACATTAAATTGGAAAAATATGTTGGATTATATGTACAGTAATTATGTACACAATAATCCTCAATACTAAATTGTCTGATAGTACATCAGGTTTAGTATATATTCAGAAATATAAGATCTTGCTAGATGCTGGATTATATCAGATTTTTGTATTATTTCCTGTTGTGAACTTGTTGTGAACTTGTGTATGCTGATAAATCCATATAAGCAACTGAACACCCAATGTATGTCAGCAAATTTCATAAAATATGCATTTTGTTTCTTCAAAAATATATTAGTGATCTGAGTTGTATTGCACTGCTGTATTGGTTTGTTATTTCAACATAATCATACATAATCCACAATACATACTCATCCTGCAGAGTAATACTGATTTAACTAAAACATGGTATTAGTATAACAACCATCTTTATACAGTATCGTATTTTTATAAAATTGTCATAGATATTAATAAAAAGCAATATTTTCTATATGGTAATGTTGTTAGATTGTTTCTGGAGTCTTTGCTTTTGTTCTTGTTTTTATATTGGTCCTTGACCAAAAATAAATGATTGATGCTACAAAATCATTTTATAAACATTTATAGAATTGCATGAAGTTCTTGAGCAGCATTGATCTTGAACAATTGAAAAAATTGAACACTAAACATTACCAATTTGGAATTCATATTTAGTTTAGTAAGGAACAAATAACATGTATTTATTTGAGTTTTATCTCACCTTTATTAATTTATAAATAACACAAGGCAGCAAACACATATAATATTTCTTCCTCCTATTTTCCTCGCAACAACACCAGTTTGAGGTAGGTTGTGCTGAGAAAGAGTGATTGGCCCAAAGTCACAGAGTCAGCTTTCATGCCTAAGGGAGGAGTAGAACTCAGAGCTTCCTGGTTTCTAGGCCAACACTTTAACCATTGTATCAGACTGGCTGTTCATTCCTTCCTAAATGATAATTACAGGCTTATAAGTTCCAGTTGACCACACTTTAACTTTCATCAGTTAGAAAGAACATTAGCTAGAACATTGTACAGACTCTAAACACAAATTCTAGCTAGGTTTTCAGATTGAAAAGAAAAGACTTTGGTATGCAACTAATGATAACACTGAATCAGCTAGTTTGAGTTTCTCATCTCATCTATATTTCAGTTGCTACTTGCCATACTGACAGAGCAGAAATATCTCCAACTTAGGATGCCTTCATTGCTCTTAATAATACATTTCCATATGTAATATGACTTGCTTACCAAGTAGATGGTTATGCTCTGTGAGGGTTTGTCTCAAATAGATTAGCTGTTCACACTGAGGATTTATTACTGAGACATGTAACAAGTATTTTTTCCCTTGCCATTGTTGCATCATCTTCAGATATTTTCTGCCAACAGAGCAATTGATTATGGAAGCTTACAATGGGAAAAAATATTTACACTCCAAACCTATTCCTGGGCACCCAACCACTACAATTGGATGGAGTTTATCAGCCTGCTTACAATAGACATCTCAGGACCCACACAGTTTGCTATTCCATTGCAAAATTGGATACATATAAACATGTGGGCATTGCCTAAGGAGGGCATAATGTAGATTAGGCTGGTCTGCTCTAACTTGCCTGTAAACTTTTAGATAATGTGCTCCATGGGGAGAAATTAATGAATTTAATACTACATGGGTGGGAAGGTCTGAGCCATTCCTACTATAACCCACTAAGTTGAATCCTATGCAAAAAGTAGGGAACAGTGCATTTAATTAGAAATTCATTTTGGTATATATAGTTTAAACTTGTGAAGCCAGTGTATCTTGCACAATTTGAATTGCTAAACAGATTTCCTAACAATTTCACTGACAGAAGTTTCCTATTTCCAAATAATATGAAGTTTGATCGTTTCATCTCCACAAAAATATAACCTTGCAACAGCACAAAAAGGCACATGGTATCTACTAACGTGTGGCAAGCATTTTCCTTTGAATGTTTTTTGTTCAAGGTGTGGTTTTTTTTTTGGTTTACTCCTACATTAGTCCATTGTTACAGGTAAGACAGGAAAGAAAATAAAAGTGTTCTTTGTTAGGATTAAATTACTACCAGTGGATGATGTTTGGTCCTACCTTGTAGGAAGAACTTTTCAATATGCACATTCAAACACTATTGGCTAGGTAATTGTAGATATGCATGAGTTTTTATTTCTTTTATTTTTTAAAATTATATTAAAAATCCACAGTACAGCATAGTATAGTACCCCATCCCACTCCACTCTACATGGCAGCAATCAAACCAGCCACTTGATTGACTCTCCATCAACCGGGGATTCCCAGGCCCGCTGACAACCATGTCTTCAAGGCCTTCCAGAAAAGTATCAGAGGGGGGTTATTATCTTTTGAGATAATAACATTCCATACAGAAGGCTATTTTTCTTGGTCTGACTAGAAGTACTTCTCTAATAGATGGGACCTGTAACACACAAATTAATAATAGTTAAACATTGCAGATAAATGAATGTTTATTAATGCTTTATTTGGTCTAGTATAGCAGTAATTATCAGCCCCAGCTGTATTGCCAAAGCCAAAAGAGGGTGGCAGAATGTCAGGTCACCTTCATCTTCTCTAATCTAGTATATTCCTAAACTGATTCTGCCAAAGGATTCTTGGAAGCCGATAGAAAGGCAATATTTAATGTTGTGATCTCAAAAAATGTTTTATTTATTTGTAATATTTATATAACTACCTATCTTGCAATCAAGTGACTCGTGCTGTTTGGATATATAGGTAGTCCTCGACTTACGACTAACAAGCATTTGAAGATGGCCTCAGAAAAAGTAACTTAACCAGCCCTGCAGTCATGTGACCACAATTCGGGCACTTGGCAACTAGCTCATGTTCACAACTGGTTGTAGCATGCTACAGTCATGTGATCACAATTTGCAACCTTTTTTTGCCAGTGGGGGCTGGATTCACTTAATGGCTATATTAATTAACCATGTGATTTACTTAATGTCTGAGGACAATTTTGTAAAAATTGTCATAAAATTGGGTCTGATTCTACTTACGACAGCAGGGTGTTGAAATTCCAGTCCCAGTTGTAATTGTAAGTCAAGGATTACTTATATAAGTACAGTAATTCTTTTTAACCTAAAAAGTAAATTCTATTTTTCTGAAACTACTGCCGGAATAAAACTGAGTGATGGGTCCTAAGAATGTACTATAGGTCTTTCCCATATTAATGATATGTTTGTCTCTTTTCCTTAAGACCAGTCTTTTGTGACACTAGCCACAAATGATTCCTACGTAAAAGGAGCACTTGTACTTGGATCATCGCTACGGAATTATAGAACGACAAGGAAGTTGACAGTGTTGATCACTCCCCATGTTTCTGATGCAATGAGGTAAGTTGCCTGATGCACTGTGGTCATCCAGACCCAGTGAAAAAAATGCACCCGAAAATCAGGTGGGAGTTTAGTTAAAAATAAATGCATCAATTAGATAAAATTCTACAAGAAATGGAAAAGAAAATGATCTCAAGAATATATAACTTTCTACTAGATTTTAAAATGGAAGAGGAGGTGGTCAAAGAGACGATGGTGGTATGGGGGAAAAATGTTGGCCATAATATAGACCTGGAAAATTGGGAGAGAATGTGTGGATTAAATTATAAACTAATTACATCCACAGCATACAAGAAAAATCAATACAAAATGTTCTACAGGTGACACCATCCCCCTGCGAGACTGGCAAAAATGTTTAACTCAGACCCAAATTGTTGGAAATGTGGAAAAGAAAAAGGCACCTATTTTCATACCTGGTGGACATGCCAGGAAGTGATAAAATATTGGGATACAATTAGACAATGGATAGAAGAAATCACGAATCAGAAAATTGAACTAAATCCAGAAACTTTTTTATTAGGTATAATAACACAAAAATGCAGTAAAACAGATAGATATATCATGTTACATATATTAACAGCTGCAAGGATCTTGTATGCACAACTCTGGAAGGAGAAGGCATGGTTATAAAAAATATAATAGATTGTACAGACAAGAACAGGCTAACGATGAAAATAAAAGACAAGAAGATTCAATTTATTATAGGGCCTGGGATGCCTGGTATGAGTGGTATAGAAATTTAAAAAAATGGCAATTAGGAAAAGAATGAGGGAATATGTAAATATGTAAATATACCATGGAGAAGATTGATATGTAAAGATAAAAGATATTGATTTATAGCAAGAGTAAGATGTAATGATAAAGGAATAAGTAAATATATATACTGAAAAATATGAGGAGATGCAAAAGATGTCTTGATGTTGATAGCAATGTGTAAAGTTTTATGTTTTTAAAATTTGAAAACTTAATAAAATTTATTATTAAAATAAATAAATGCAGCTGGGTGAAATTTCCCTTAAGAGCATAGCTAGGCCATCTTTTGTTCAGATAAATCATATGTAGAAATAATGTGAATAGTTATTGCATAGTTGAAATAATCTTTTCTTTCTCACTTTCTGGAACAAACAGTGTCTTACAGTTCCCATTGAAATTTTATTGTAAAGTAACAAACCTGAACCTGCCTGGAACTATTATTTAATCATCCTCAAGTAGAGAATTAATATTTACAGTTTTTTTTCTTTGGGCTCTTAATTTCTACATTCATTAGAAATTGCCATTGAAGGCTCTTTGCCTTTAGGGTTGTCTAGAGCAGTGGTCGCCAACCAGTGGGCTGCGGCCCACTAGTGGGCCGTGAAAAATTTTTGGTTGGCCGCAGAGAAATCTCACCCCCAGAGCACTACCCCAAAGCAATTAATCTAGGCTGCGCAGAAACACAAGGCTGCGCCGCCCACATGGCCCACGGGAACTCTCCCCGCCCACTCACTCCTTACCCAGCAAACTTGCCTGCTAAATTTCTAGTTTTTTCTTTTTCTGACCAATATCTGTTCTGCTGTGCCAGGAGATTTTGATTAGCTAGGAAGCAGGAAATGGTTGGATTTCTTGCTTTCTAGCTTGTCTTTAGATCTTCGGCTCTGCCTTTAAGCACAGCTGAGCCTCCCTTAGGACTGAAGGTTTGCTTGCAAGCAAATTCAGTGCAGACCCACAGCAACTGACTTAACTGATGGCAGACAGATAGCTCACTGAATGATTCTGTGAGCAACTCAATCTGCCTGCTTTGCATGATTTTGGGTAAAAGCTGCTCTTTTATAAAAAAATTAATATTTACATACATGATGTGCTGTGAGTTAATTTTTGTGAGTTAGCTTGCAAGCAAATTTTATGTGACAGACTGAACTATCCAATGGCAGATAGATAGATTTCTGCATGAATCTGTGATTCTGTGAGCAATTCAATCTGCCTGCCTGCTTTGCCTGCTTTGGGGTAAAAGTTGCTCTTTTTTAATAAAAAAAATCTATATTTATATAAATATTTATAATATTTACATACAAGCCATGCCCAGCCAGTCACATGACCACCAAGCCACACCCACAAATTAGGCCAAGCAGAACCAGTTAGTGATCCCTGGTATCTAAAATTATGAGTTTGGTGGTCCCTGAGGTCCAAAAGGTTGGTGACCCCTGGTCTAGAGACTTTTGGATAAAGAGAAGGGCTATTCTGCTGGAGGAAGAGCAGACAAGTTGATTCTATGCAACAATCTGTATGCTGACATTGGAGTTTGCCAATGTCCCTGAATGTAATTGAAAGATTTTTGCTTCATAAGAATGGATGTTGAAAATAATGCAGGACCAAGATTTTAGCAACGGGATGTTTATAAAGATGAGACATTAGATTCCTTATTCTTAGTATAAACAAGAAAGACAAGTCTATTTATGGACAACTAAGGTAGTTGCTAGTGTGTTAGCAAATTTAATTAGTCATAATTATTTCCCAATTTAAGGCTAATTTAACTTGTAGCCTGAATTCTAAATGTCTTGGTAAAGGATATGAGAAACTTGACTACATTTTCAAGCTTACTCAAATATTTGCATAGTGAGGTTTGTGGCTTGCTGTGCTAAATCTTTAGCAGTTGTATCAAATGCTCTGCAAGATATCTCTTCTTGAGGGAGGGCAGAATGTTTAAATTTGTTTATAAAGTTTTACGTAAGTGGAACTTTTACAAAGAACTTACTCTTCTCTCCCAGTCTAAATAAATATCTGTGGTAGAAATACCTTCAATTCCAGAAGAATCTTTAAAGGCAAAAATTATGCCAGAATTTTAATAATTAAGTATCTTACATATGTTACATATATTACATATGTTTCGTGGGCAATTGGACAAAAGTCATCTAGCTAGCTAGAAAGGAAGCAGCAGTAATCTGTAGGGAAGTGACATTAAGTCTTCTAGCTCCTCCCTGCACAACTGTGAATCTTCCTAGAATTTAGGGTAAAACTGGTAGAGAGGAAGTACTTCAGTATTGCCTTTTGCCCTGACTTCTGCTTTTGTATTGATTAACAGAGAAGAGAGCAGTAGTATAAAAAAGATCCCTGCACATCATACTATTACATTGTGAGAGTTTTTTAGACCCCTAAATTTTAAAAGGTGATTTAGAATTCAATATTTTAAATTTAAAACTTCAAAAACACTATTATTCTTGTTTTAGTGTAAACTCAGCTAACTAGAAATTTCAAAATAAGATAAATTTTGTTGGTAGAATTTAGAGCTGCCACCACTGTTTCCTGTTCCTACTCCTGCTTTGTGATTGCATCTCTATTCTAGAACTCAGTTTATCTGAATTTTGTTTTCTTTTTTTCAGCATACCCATTTCTATTTTTGCAGATGCTGAATCATTATCAATGATTAGTTATGGTTAATAATTTTGTGAGTTTTCAAACCTTATCAATTTCCTGTGGGTATGTTTGCAACCCTGGTATATTCTTGGCTACTGCCCAGAAGTCATTCCATAAATGCTAAAAGCTCCATAATTCTTTAGTTTAAAATAGCTAGTTGACTTATCAAGAGTGTAGGTCTTTTTGACCCATCTGTTTGTGTAGCTTTGAGAGCCTGTCAGTAGTACTAATCTACCACCTTTCAAATGCATTATCTCAAATCTGCATTCCTGTACACTTTAAGTTTGAAACATACTACAGAGGATAAATAGTTGCTGTCAGGAGAATCTATTTCAAGCAAATTCCTATAGGCTTTTACGGAAATACGATATAGGAGTCTGCTTTCTCACAGGTTCTTGGGATAGTGTAGACAGTTATTGGATAAGTGAGTGGCATTGAGTGAGTGGCATTGAGTATTGATGTAAACCATGACTATTCCTTTCAATAGGACAGTCTTAGAAAAGGTCTTTGATGAAGTGAAGCTGGTGAATGTTTTGGACAGTGGTGATTCAGCCCATCTTGCACTATTGAAAAGGCCTGAACTTGGTGTTACTTTGACAAAACTCCACTGCTGGGAACTAACACAGTATTCAAAGTGTGTGTTTATGGATGCAGACACAATGGTATGTCTTTCTTGATGCTAATAATCTTTTCAGTTGTGTTCAGTTCATGTTAAAAAATAGTAATTTATATGCCACATAGAGAGTCAATTAGATGCTTTTGATTTGCACCACTTCAGACATATGTACTATTAATATATAGAATATTTCTTCCATTCTCATGAACCAAAGTATTTTAAAGAATAATCCATAGCTTATATATAAAATGTTGAATTCTTCAGACCTTACAAAATTGACTACATATTTCCATCGTATATGTACCATAGTATTAGGTGTTCCATATATAATTTATTATCCATTTACTCTATGTCATACGCTAAATAAACAGAGATATGTAGAAACTGCATACTTCGCTACAGCAAATAATGGCTTAATCCAGTGCATAAAAGCATCCATCTACTTTTCTGTGCATCTTCTTGCCCTGTTGATAAATAGGCAATAATTTAAAGAAAAAGTCAGACTGCGCCAGAATTCTGGGATAGTGCTAGATATAGAAATATACACATTAACTAGAATGCCTAGTCTCTTATCTTTGCCATATAGACAGGATTCTTCACAACTTTAAAATGGGGCATGAATTGTGAATTGAAATGCATTCAATTAACGTTGCTTCCAGAAAAACTCATATCAACATAAGTAGATCTAAACAATGTCATAACAATGTATCTTAGAGGAAATTACCATTCCTTTTGCTGGTGAATAATACATTTGTACTTGCAAACCATTTCTTCCCCACTAGGTCTTGTCAAACATTGATGAACTTTTTGAAAGAGAAGAACTTTCTGCAGCTCCAGATCCAGGCTGGCCTGACTGTTTCAATTCAGGAGTTTTTGTTTATAGGCCTTCCATTGAAACATTCAATCAACTGTTGCAACTTGCCACAGAGAAAGGCAGCTTTGATGGTACCTATCTCATTTTATCTGGTTGATGGGGAAATGTTTTATTTAAAGGCTGGGTATGTTAAATCATATTATTCAAAACAAATCTATAGCAAATGTGTAATGCTTGTAGAACAGAGTACTTCCGAAGCTTTCAGTAGATGGGGTTTTATTTCAATGGACCTGAATGTATGAAACATTAATAAGATTTCCTAAAAGTGGAGTAAAAAGGAAGTGGGTAATCTGTCAGTAAATCATTTGGGTGTGTATGATTACAATAAGAATTGCAATAGATTGTCTTTCGACAGACCAAGAGTCATTTACCTAATGGCATATAGAATAGGGCAGTGTGTTCTGCTGCTTCTAGAAAAGCAACAGACCTGTGCTGTCCAGACAGTATATAGGTAACAGAACAAGACCAGTGTTATCTTTCAAGCCATAATAACATGGTTAGATAAATGCATAATGAATTACAACATCCATTTGGCAATGACATCAATGATATCGATCTTTCTTAAAGGAAGACCTGATGAGAATATTCCTAGCATCAGGGTTTGAAGAGGCCATTTAAGTCATCAAGACTTCTAGCTACTGCTTGAACACAACCCTGCAAAGGGGAGCTTTTGGCTGCATCTCCATGTTATTTAATCTGTTTAACCTAAGCCCCATATTACCTCAGAATCTGATTTCTGGTACCTTAAGCCCATCAATTATACTGTATATCCTACACTTAAGAATAAAAAAGTAGCTAAGCTGTATGCTACAGCTCCAGTGGTTGTCCCCACTTTCCAGAAATGTTCCAAGTAGTCCTGAAGTGATTCCAATTTCAAACAACCTTAATTTTATTTCTGAAAACTTCCAAAATGATCGGAACAGGATTGGAGTCAAACTAAGGCATTTCAGACTTAAGACATTTTGAATTTGAAACATTTTTTTGCAAAGAAAAGGTTTCTGTTTTCCGTGCGAGGCTCGTTTCAAAAGAATATCTCCCATCAGTCTTTCTAGATTAGAAAAATGCCTGAATGGAACAGGCAGGGCAAGTTGCTGGTTTGACAATTGCTGTAAATGCACTTGGTGTGGTTTTATCATGTCAGTCCTTTCAAGTACAGATGTCCAGCACTCAAGAAAAAAGGGCCACTTATCATTTTTGCCAGAGCAGGTTGGCATATTTACAACCGAAAGCAAAGGCTTTAAAACTTCCAAGAGTGTCATAACAGTTGCTGAAATGGTTAAAAGCAACAAAAATAAAAATTGTAGGTTTTTAAAAGACAGTCTCCCCTCCCCCCCCTTTAATTCCAGTGAAGATTGGCCTGGCTTACTAGAAAAGACTCACTTATGCAACAATACTTCACTTGATCCTTTGCAGCTACTGTTGCCAAAAAGAAGAGCATGGCCAGCTAGAATCTAGAAGAAAATAATTGCAGATAGAAAATGAGAATATACTGTTATATTTTGGTCTGTTTCTCTATTTGTTTCAATAATCCTCTGCCTGAAGGAGAATGACTTTCTGGGGCTTTTCATTTCTACAATTAGGCCACAATCTTTTACATACAGAAAGCAAGAAACATGAAGAAAGCTACAGTAGTCTTTCTATTATAACTCCCATCACTCCAAACGACGTTGTTTGGGGCTGTAGTAGGTACAGATTGCAGGAAGTTAATTTGTACAATATTGACTCAAGGGACACTTAGCTTGATTCCCTTTGCAGAGAATTATGAAACTGTTTCTCTGTTGTATGCTACCTGCAGTCGCTATAGATGAAAATAGTGGCAAATTAATTTAATAAATGCTATTTTTCTGAATAAGAAGTCATAAACATAGTAAAATTATAATAATATTTCTAATAAAATATAAGTTAATAATAATTGATTAATAATTGTAAAAAAAAGTTTATAATTGAATAAAATCCAGTTTGGTTTGGTGGTTAAGGCACAAGGCTAGAAATCAACAAGAGTCTGGGTTCTATTCCTGTATTAGGCATGAAAGCCAGCTAAGTTACTTTGGGCCAATCATTCACTGTCAGCTCAACTGACCACAGGGTGGTCTTGTGGGGAAAATAGGAGGAGGAAGGAATATTAGATATGTTAGCCACATTGAATTATTTAATAATTATAATAAAAGCAGGATAAAAAAATCTAAAAACAGACATTTTTCACTGCAAAGACAGTCTGATGTAGTTCGCTTCTTCAAAAAAGGAAAAAATAATAGATCCAGGAATCTATAAACCTATCAGCCTGACATTAGTACCTGGGAATATTCTGAAAAAGATAATCAAGCAACAAATCTGTGAACACCTAGAGGCAAACATAACTAAAAACCAATATGGGTTTGTCAAAAACAGATCATGCCAGACAAATCTTACTGTATTTTTGACAATGTAACAAAATTAGTGGACCAGTGAAGTGCTGTGGATATAATTTACTTGGACTTCAGTAAAGCATTTGATAAAATAGACCACAATCTATTGCTTGATAAGATAGAAAAATATGAGTTAGGCAGCACCACCATAGATGGCTTCATAACTGGCTGACCAACTCCACTCAACATGTAATCCTTAATGGAACTTTTATCTATACGGAGAGAAGTATACAGTGGGGTAACTCAAGGCTCTGCCTTATGTCTAATATCTCCATCAATTATCTAGATGAGCAGAAAGGAAACTCATCAAATATGCATATGACACTAAGCTGCCCGGAATAGCCAACACTCCAGAAAATAGGCTCAAGATACAGAAGGATCTGAACAATTTTGAACAATGAAATTCAATGATAAAAAAGTAAGGTTCCACATTTAGGCAAGAAAAACCAAATGCACAGGTATAGAATAGGTGGTATTTGGCTCAATAACAGTAACACAATCACTTAAATATGAGTCAGCAGTGTGCTGCAGCTGCTAAAAAAGCCACACAGTCCTATGCTGCATTGAGGGTCAAAATCAAGATCACATGAATCACTTTATAATGCCTCGGTAAGGCCATCCTTGGAATATTGCATCCAGTTTTGGTCACTATAATATAAAAAAGATGTTGAGACTCTAGAAAGAGTGCAGAGAAGAGCAACAAAGATGATTAGGGAACTGGAAGCTAAAAAATACGAAAAAGTTACAGGAATCGGGTATGTCTGGTCTAGTGAAAAGAAGGACTAGCAGTTTTCAAATATTTGAGGAGCTGCCACGAAGAAGGGGCTCAACCTATTCTGCAAAACACCTGAAGGCAGAACAAAAAGCAATAGATGGAAACTAATAAAGAGAACTAACCTAGGACTAAGCAGAAATTTCCTGACAGTACAATTAATTAGTGGAACTGGTTATCTCCAGATGTTGTGGATACTCCAACACTGGAGGTTATTAAGAAGAGATTGGACAACCATTTGTCTGAACTAGTATAGGCTTTGCTACTTGAGCAAAGGGTTGGGCTAGAAGACCTCCAAGGTCAATTCCAACTCTATTATACTGGATTTCTGACCCTTGTGTATTTTTCTGTATTTTGGAAATGTTATATAAATGGTCCATGAGACAAAGTCTTGTTATCTCTGTAGAACAGGACCTCTCTTTATTACTTGCTTGGCTATAATTGCTCCTAATTTGAAATTGCCTTCTGAGTGAAGTGTCTATGTGGAAGATGCTTTTTAGAAGAACTATATTGAATTGTAAAAGGAGGTGAAAACATTGCATAGATGTATAATGAATGGGTATATTTTTGGTATTATTCACACTTGTACTGTTGTGTTCCCTCTGCTAAAATATGCGTGAAAATTAGGTTACATTACTGCAGACAGTTTATCATGGGAACATTCTCCCCTCCCCACATAAGAACAGCCACATTCTAAAGCTTCATTCATGTGAACTAAACCTGCTGCTTTCTAATTTTAGGAGTTGCTTGTGTTAGTTGGCAGAAACTAACTTCCAAATTTCCAAAGAAGCTGTCTTGGTTGCCTAAATTTTGTTACTTTTCAGTAGATTTATTTGTGCCTCTTTTAACATGCAGCGCAAAATGGAAAACAAAGTCCCCCTATGAAATAGCAAGAGTTATTTAGGAATCTACTTTTGAGCTTCTTTTTTTGTCATTTAAAAGTTAAGTCCTAAACTACTCTTGGCTTTTTCATATGACTTAATTAATGAGTATTGGCACTAGTTAAACTGGCAAAGATACTAGATGGCTTACATTAACAATTAAGATAGCATGGTTCCTGTCTGAAGCAAAACACAAATAGAAGTTTTGTATTCCCTCTGATTATATTATCTCAATATTACCTTCCTTGACTATTTCCTAAGTTTATTTTGACATTTATCCCAGAATGCAAGCATATTGAATTTCACTTAAAAATATTATCAAGGGGTATGTTTTGGCAATAACCATAAACAAATTTCAGACAACAACTCTTTTTGCTGTGGGAAATTGAAACAGAGATGCTGTTTCCTTAGAAATTCATTAAGTGTTTGGGTTTTTTCCATTCTATGTTCAATATGCCCTGAATCTTAAATTGGTACAGCAACTGGAATTGCCAAACTTGAAATTACAAATAGCTTCAGATGCACTCAGAGCTGCTGTTGTGTTCCAGCTGCATGCTTAGGAAAGAATATTCCTAATCTTACTCTGATTTGTAAAGTGAATAAGATAACTCTTTATTTTAAAGATAGATATTATATAAATCAAGTATACCATCTTTCATATGTGAATAATATTTGATCTTGACTCTCTGGTAGAGCCAACCAAAACTTACCATCTACTAAGTTTTGATGTGTCTGTATAAATAGCAGTCTTTAATCCTTATTGAATAAATAACTTTGCAAAGTATTTAAGTGAAAAGTCCCCACTCTTTTATTTTTTGTAAATCAATCCAAGCAGCTCAGCTGCTTCTAAAATGTTGTTGTCACTCTGTTGCTCACTATTCTGTTTCCTAAACTGAACTAAGCAACATAAACATTTCCTGGGCCTGAATGATTTACTTGATGTCTGTCGCCTTACAAAATAATTGAAAGAATGTAGATTGATATATGCAACCCCATCTGTGCTCCCTGAAGCTAGTGTTCTGGATAAGATGCCAAGAGCTTAAAAGCCTTAAATATTAATTCATGATGAGTCATGGATGCTTGCAGAAGAAGTCAGTGCAGGGATGATCATGTCCTTCATTGAGAAAAACAACTGATAAATAGTGTGGTCAATAAAGGCAAAAATCACTCCTCAGAAAGTCTCAGTTTTAATCATTTACATAACTGTTGGGCATATTCATAGTTTCTAATGGTTCCGTTTTTAGAACTAAGCAGGTTTTTTAAAGTAATATATTTTATTTGAGAAAATAGGTAGACACATCGTAAAGCAATTTTTAAACTGATTTCCACCAGCAAAAACTATTTGGCATGAAAACAGATTCATACTTCCGAAATAATTAGATGGTCCATCTTCAGTTCAATTAATCAATTATGAATGTTTGGAAAGCTGTCTCGTTCATTACCGAACAGGATTTTAAATTGTATTAATAAACTTGTTCAAAATTTTGTTCAACAAAACTACCAAACCAATACTACAGATGAGATACACACATTTCTGATCTTTTGCATTCATTTTATGTATGGTATTTCAATAATATTTGAAACTGATTTTTAACGGCTTTTTAAACCATTGCTTTTTCTTTGACTCACCTTTCTCTCTCTCTCTCTCTCTCTCTCTCTCTCTCTCTCTCTTTCCTTTCCTCAGGTGGGGACCAGGGTCTGTTGAACACTTTCTTCAGCAGTTGGGCAACTACAGATATTAGCAAGCATCTCCCATTTATTTATAACTTAAGCAGTATTTCTATTTATTCCTACCTCCCAGCATTTAAAGCGTAAGTAGATGATTATGGACACAGACAGAGTAGGCTGAACTATTAAATATGCTTGATTTAATATTCATTCTGTGTCTCTACTGCTTCCAGATTCAAACAGTGTAAGAGGAATTATGCTACTTGCTCTTCATGGCAAGGCAAGGATCCCCACCGCTTAAATGAGAGTAAAACAATTGACTTGTTAATAGTATGTCTTATAATAGGTAATACACGTTATCCAACCTAAGTTTTTTTTCCAATATGAATAATGGGAATTAGATGGTTACATTAGAATCACTCTAATGTTATGTTATCACTTGTTTGATCTCAGCAGAATAAGCCAGCAAAATTTAAAAGAATATCACTACAGTTCTTTGAGTGGTTATCTATGAATTAATGCCACTGCACAGAACCCCACTGAAGTTATATGAATTCACAGGTGACTTTCAAAGAACTGCACTTACAGATGAGAAATCAGCACTTTATTGTATTCTGAGTGATTCACATAAGAAAGACTAACAAACTTTTAAGCTGGAGGAAGACCTGATTTTCAGAAGATAATCAAGGAGGGTGGTGTTTCCAATAGTCATAACTATCTGTAATACTGTGAAAGGATGAAGGACTGAGTCTGGTTGTCTAGCACAACTTCAGTAAGACAGAGTCCCAGAGGAAGAGTGCTTCTGTAGTAAATGTAGATCAGAAAACAACATGGCTGGTTAGCCAATAAATTGGCTAATAAATTTGTTTGCTACTCAGAGTCACTTGTCTGAGATGGGCGGCTATAGAAATTGAATAAATACATAAATTACAAAACTCAATCTGACTATTATAAAATGCTGAAAGGCAAGACCACACCCTTTAAAAGGTCATTGGAAGACAAGAAATAACTGTTTATCTAAGGAAAACTATCCTATGTTGTAAAAGACAAAAGCATGATGGCCACGTAAAGAGTGAACCTATGTTTTCTACAGCTCTAAAAGCTGGGAGAATATAGGCAAGATGTCTTCAACAAATACAAAATCTAGACTGACTTTAGAACATTGGCCTCAACAAATGTTTATATAATTGAGCAGAAGAAAACCAAGAAGGCATGCTAGGCTGAAATAAAAAAGTGGAATTATCTCACAGTAGCATCCTGGAAGAAAGAATAGTTCTGTGGATGAGTCAGTGACATTTAATCTGTCTGTTACGTGAGTAGCCAAAGGCACAATTAGGTGACTGATAGAAAGAGAATATTGTAGTGGAAAGTTGCTTAATTCTTTGTTATTGTGAGTTGTTCTAGAAGTACCAGCTGAGATTGTGAAAGATGATCTACCCTAAAAAGACAAAGAATAAAACTGAAAATAATGATACCTTTCAGAAGTACAATGGACATAAGAGCTCTGAGTTGAGGTTCAGAGTGCTGAAAAAGATTTAGTAAATTTCAGGTGTTCTGATGTATAAGATGTCCTGAAAGAGTAGATATTTAGGAAGGTTTGCCTATAATTCCCCATCTTCTCTTGCCTGAAGAGTTGATAGACTGGACAGTACTAATGAAAGCCCAGCATGTATCTGCTAAAATTGGCCATTATAGAGCAATGCATCTGAATTATGAAGGCATCAGGATCTCTTTCTTTGCTCTGTTTGGAAGGTTAGGTTGCAGGGCAACTCTCTTAGAAGCTTTAGTAGGCAAATTTGGATCTGTAATTGGCAAATTTGCTGCTGCTGCTGCTGAAAGATAGGTGTCAGTGGATCTTCTGGAGTTGATAGATTTTATCTCTTGAAAAAATGAAAAAAACCGGACAGTCCCTGGGATATCTTAGAAGGTTAGGAAGAAGATATATAGTTTTATAAAGTCAGGAAACCCACAATGTATATGCCCATTGAAGGAGAGAAGTTTGCTTCTATATTCATTTCACTTATGAAAAGGGATCCTTAAGATCAAAGGTCAAAGGCTTTATCACTCCTATTTTTGTCCCGCGTTTTAGCTGAAACTTTTAAAAAAGATTTTTTTTTTAATCTTTGGATTTCAATGGCACAATCTCAGGGTGCTCTTGGTGCCACAAAATTGAGATTATGGCAATGTCTTACTTTTTCCCCTCATATAGCCTACCTTGGTAGCATGTTCATTTCTGAAGTACTCATGTTTCGTATTAAACTGCTGTTAATTGCTGGCATTAGGTTATCTTACCTCTCAGGAAAAGCCAAATAAATCTCTTTAAATTTTGCCCTTGGAAGATCCAGAAGCAAGTGTGCAGTTGTAGGAACAAGTCTCTAGGCAACATTGAATGATGACGAATTTAATAGAGCAGCTGACGTAAGCACCGTTTTCATTGGTTAAGGTTCAACTGTGTCTTATGATCCAAATGTCATGAGATACTGTTAGGTTAAAATTAGTGCCCTTATTTTGGGATCTTCATGCAAACTGGAATGAATACATTGTACTCAGTGGCTGGTGGAAAGAGTATCTGGCTTGGTGAATGGAATTGTGATGTAATTGTGATTGCAAGCGGCTCCTCTTACAACATGAAGTATATTATAAAGAATCCTACATTCAGGTTTACGCTACATGGAGTCCTTCAGTTCCATTCTTGTGGCATTCTGGCCATGATTGCTGAAATATTATAGCAGGAGTTTCTTCCACTTTGAAATAGGGAACAAAGTACAAATAAAATATTAGCTCATAAATAGGTATATCATAGTTTTAAAAAATGAAAATCTGACCAGATTCCTTCTCAATCCTACCAAAATTTTAAGCATGCTATGCTTGATACTAGCATGCCATTAGAACAGGATAATCAACTGTGCCAAATGCAAGAGCTCCTGGAGTAAGCTTAAATTTTGTTATGGTCACATTGAATGCTTTTTAAATATAGAAAATGTATTTAACAGAAATAGGCGTGAACTCAATTTTTTTAAAAAAAATATGTTCATACAATACCAAAGAGATTAAAATAGCTTATTTAGGGGGATGTTTTACTCAGGAAAAAAGATGGAGAATGTTGAACAGATAGTGAATGAACAATGCTTAGAATTATTATTATTAAATAACACAGCAAGTCAACTTGTTTCACATACAATATTGAAGACATCTTGTAGAACTGGTTTTCTTTCATGTTCAGTTTCAAACACTCCTTGTTCTATTATGCTGTTTATCAAATTAATAAACTAACTCATGATTATGTGCTTAGTTACATACTTTATTAAGATTTGTTGATATCCTAGTATTTTAAAATTTTCTATAATACAAATAAATGAGGAAAAGGCAATGTCTAAAGTCTGATAGTTGGTAGGTATTGGTGGTAAAAATACATACATACGTTAGTTATATAGCTATATAACTATAACTATATACAGTACTATTGTATGGATGTATAATTCACAATATTAAAACTATTGATACCAGGGTGGAATTTCTGATCACTTCTCAGGGATGAACTTCAGTGATCTTCAGTTTGTAGCTTCTTGCTGTTTACTGACAAGAAACAAGTTGAATTAATTCTGCAAATTGATGTAAACTGATTTTGATTACTTCTCTGCAGTCCTTGTGCATCATCACCAGGTCTGGCTGTGATAAAGCCAGTAAAGGTGTTTTTCTGATAGACATAAGAATTCAGATCCATACGAAATATTGAGCTTAATTGTATTTAACTTTAAACAACTATTAAGCAATTATTCTTTCAAGCTATATCCGTGCACTCCGATATTAAGGTGTTATGACTTTACCCACACATAAAAGTGACCTCTTCTTTTGACAGGTTTGGGATGAATGCTAAAGTTGTGCACTTTCTGGGCAGAGTGAAACCATGGAATTATACGTATGACTCCAAAGCAAAAAGTGTCAAAGAAGACACTCAAGATCCCACAATGATTCATCCAGAGTTCCTCAATATGTGGTGGGACACTTTTGTCACAAATATCTTACCATTATTACAGCAGCATGGTGTAATCAAAGATACAGCTACTGGTGTAAAGGCGGTATGTCTCATTAATGGACATTCTCTACTTTAATGTGGGATGTAGAAAATATTTTATTTTTGGCTTGGAATTGAGTTAAGCTAGCATGTTTGCTACAAAAACAGCTTGCAACTGTGCACTAGCTAGAGAGCTGACTAGTCATAAGTTTGCAACATTTTGTCTGCTCCCCATAAATGCAGCACATTGGTATGCTTCTTATTAGATGACCAAATAATAGTTGTTCTAGACTTTTCTTAAGGAGCTATGGGGTAGCCAAAACAAACATGGACAGGCCTGGATTTATGGCTTTACTAACCAGATTGTTAAAACAAGTGTTTGGAGAATGGGAACATAAAAAGTCTTTATTCTACAATAGAGAAAGTTTGAGCAGGAATGGAGGTTATAGATTTCAGAGGTCAGGGAAAAGAAATCTCTTAAATAAATTTACAACCCCCTTATCTCCTGAATCAGTCAAATCATGCTTCACTATCATCCTAAATATAGTCAGCAATGACTTCTTTGAAACGCTGCCGACGTGCCCCTAAAATCTGCTATTTCTTCCAGAGCTCATAGGAAATGTTATAGAGCAAAGAAATAATGCAGACAGAAAGATATTTTTCCTATCTTGATCATCCATCCATGTAAGATTGTATCTTCCATTATAAATGTAGCATATACCACATTTCAGTGCTACAATATGAAGAAAACAATGCCAAATTAATTTTCAAGGCACTTCAGGACAGGATTAAAATAGGGTCAAACATTTTGTGCAAGTTCAGACTCATCCACACCAGTGGTATTCTGCACTTCCCACCACCATCTTTCCCATCATTCTAACTACCCCACCCGACAGAACTTTGAAGAAGTCTACAAGGAATCTGAAAGTTTGATATTTTTTTAACAATGGCTTTGCATACTTTGTAAATCCATGCAGCTGGTTTGAAGAATTTCCTTGAAACATTCATGATTCATCTACATTTTTTCACAGATTAAGCATATCCTAGAGCATTTAACTCTTGCATTTTTAAAGAACTTTAAAGACAGAGTTCTATTAATTCTCATTAAATGTTGATTCAGATTGGAATATGCATTTAGGCCTCTCAGGGTTTCATATCCTGCACTATGCTTGGCATCGTAGTTATTTGTCTTAAGAGAAAATTTCTAGTAAATTGCATTCAGTAAACAGACCATGAAGATGCCTGCAGGGGCACGTCTCCTCTCTGTTATGAACTGCTGTCTCTGATAAATTGAGGGTGAATGAAGGGTGGTATTGTGCCAACTGTCTTAAAATTTGTGTTACCATTTTACAATAGTGGACCTACAAAATTTGTGTGGGGGGGGGGGTTTACTGATGTTTTTACATATCTTGTCATTTAAAATAACTTGGTTCTGCCTTCTTCTGCATTCAGACTAATCATGCAATATTGATTACTTGGGCTTGATATTACAGAAAACAATGATTATATTCTTAGCCTTGTGACTAAACATACTGATCTATTCTTGAGCTATGCTTTCTGTTGTCTGTATTTCAACTTTCTAATGAACTATTTGCAGCTGTCGGGCTTGGTCTATACACTGGCTTTCTCTTGTGGCTTCTGTAGAGAGGTATGAAGAACTTAAGCATAACTACCTGTCTGCTATTTCATTGACCCAGATTCTCTTTTTATTTATGTATTCATAGCTCTTTAAATTGCATAAATGGTGCTTGCTGCTTTGCATGGGATCTCATTAGTTTTCTTACCTTCTGCTTAGTTACTTTATGCTTATACCTTTTTGTAGTGTGTAATTGTGCTTCTCCCACTTATCTTTCATTTCTTTTTAGGAAGAGGTAACAGAGGCAGTCTCTCACCTGTCACTTTCAGCAGCAGAAATGCCACATTCACCACCATCACCACCAGCTATGTCCTCAGAAGAACGTAAAGAAAAATGGGAGCAAGGTCAGGCTGACTACATGGGAGCAGACAGCTTTGACAACATCAAGAAAAAACTTGACACCTACCTCCAGTAAAAGCACTTGTATTTGCTCCCCCAAATATCAGCAATACAAGGACTTGTTTCAGAGCTGTAGCAACTAGAAAAGTCAGCTAGGGTCAGTTAAGTTTGCCAGAAGCGTTGCCGGTGCTGAACTGAAGGCTTTTGGAAATACTGCAGGTAAGAACGGAGCAAAAGCTGTTTTAAGTATGAATTCGTGTGCCAATCATGTGTCCAACAGTCAGATCTTTTTCTTTTGCTCAAAAACTCACGAATATGCCTGCAAAGCACCTGAGAACAGGATACTGCACTGGCCTGAAACATACTACTCAGACCTAAAAGACTGTGTGTTACCTCTCCTTCCTTTCACACATGCACACCAATATGTTCTGCTTGCTACAAAGAAATAATGGCTAGAGATTCAGGCAGGTATAACAGAAAAGCCTTATAATACTAGCATATGTATATGCAACTTGATAACTGTAAAGTTACCTTTTTGCCTGTTCCAGCCATTTCTGACCAGTTTTCTATGCACAAAACTACAGCATGGCAAATGCTTTTGTTCAGGTTCTCTGTATGACTGAGACAAGTAAATCTGTGAACTGTAATGGCAAAGTACAAAATAAAAACATTGTTGAAAGTTGTCAACCCATCAAGTGGCAATAAAATCTGTGACCCTCTGAAGTCTCTTAGCATTTGTAATCTGTGTCAACACACTTTTCAAATCAATACAACAGAATTTTCTTAAAAGTTGATCTGGTGTAAGTTTGCTTTCCATTGATGTGTGTTCTATTTAAAGGCCACAGAAGATGTATACATTAATTGAAAGCTCACCTGGAAGACGCTTTGGAGATGGGAAGGAAATAAAAAGAAGAAAATGCTGTCAGAAGATGGTGTCAGAAGTTCTGATTCTACAGGCTGGACTGTTCTACACACTTTTTAAGAGTATCCACGTTAACTTTAAAACATAGTGACAACCATCAGTATCCTCAGTAATTAGAATGCTTGACAGAAGATTAAACAATACTTTTGATTGGCTAAAACCTCTGCTCCACAAAATGATGATTTAATAGGAAATATTGATATTATTGAATAGTATTCCATCAATCGTACATGCAAGATGCATGAGTAGAACAATAGTAAACCTCTAGATGAGAGACTTGTCCTTCCTATCTTCTTATAAGCTGGAGGAAAACAAAGAGCATTTTAAAAATAAAAGTATAATCCAATGAAAGCTGAGTATGTTTAGTCCTATCAAAGATGCTGACTAAAGATGGAATTGCTGGGTTTTATTTTATTTTAGAAAATTTATATTGCTGCCTGCTCACACATGGTGATTCAAGGTGGCTTACAGGGATATAAAAACCATGGAAAACAAAAATAAATTAGTAAAATAACACACACCCAACAACATGCATTCATACAAACTATTTAATGGACTCCGTCCTGCTCTAGGTTCCCCAGGCCCGCTGACAGAACGTCTTCAGCACCTTCCAAGAGTGTTAGAGGGGGGGGGGGGGCAAGTCTAATGTGTGTGGGAATGATGTTCCAGAGGAGTCACCCAGAGAAGGCCCTTCTCCTAGATCCCGCCAGATGTATCTCTCTAGACTCGCAACACTGCCTCCCTGCTCTAATGGGTCGGGGAGATGAGGCCAGCAAGAGACGGTCCCTCACATACCACTGTTTTGAAGTTTTACTAAGTTTACTATTTTGGAGGGAAAGTATCCTGCACAGATGTTAAGGTTAAAAGAATATGGTGCATTGCTATTTGTTTTGGGGAATTTTTTTTTTTAGAGATGCAAACATTGGTGTAGTCTTCAAGCATATGACAATGGGCATTCCAGAGATAATGAGTTAAGTGAGATAGCAATAGCACCTAGACTTATATATTGCTTTCTAATGCTTTACAGCCCTCTCAAAGCGGTTTGCAGAGTCAGCATATCGCCCCCCCAACAATTTGGGTCCTCATTTTACCCATCTCGGAAGGATGGAAGGCTAAGTCAACCTTGACCCTGGTAGGATTCGATCTGCCAAATTGCAGTAGGGCTTGCAATACTGCAATGAGATGCTGCCCATTCAGTCAAGTCACTGTAATTCGTGTCCATAGACAACCCCTTTCTCCTTGGAAATTTTGTATACCAGCTGGGATTTTGAAGTGTCAGACTTTTCAACTGTGTAGATAAAATCCAGAGGTAGAAGAAAACTTATGTCTTCCAAATTCTATACACATGAATGGTGGCATGCAGGGAATTTTAAATCTTTCTTATTACTAGTAAAGTCACCAATTTCAAAAGCCTGAATAACCCTAAGGTCTAAGATGCCCAGAAATAACAAAAAATAATAAGTATCTAGTCAGCAGTCCAAAGTCTTCATAAAATTTTTATTTGCCTAGAAATCAAACTAGAAATACACAATAGTTTTACATTACTATTGATAGCAGAAAAACAGTTTAAACGATTCCTTATTTTTCAATAAACACAAACCAAATGCAGGCATAAAAGAAGTTTATAGGCCTGATATTTTACATAAGTGCATTCATTTGAACACATTTTGAATCCCTATTCAGATCTTCTAACTTGGGAAAACATGGGACAAAACTGACAGGGATGCCATTGCTGGCATATGCACTTTTAATTTTTTTCCAATATACATTTGTAAGCCTTATTCTATTTAGTTGCTAATATATAGTGAATACAAAACATAATACATAGTAACATTAACTCCAGTGTGCAAAACTTACATAAGTTACAAGTTAACTTGCAACAAATGTAGATACAATCCAAGCCAAAAAAAAAATACAACTGTTCACATAAAAAAAAATCTAAAACATCATTTAACAAGATATTGTATACATTGAACTGTAATTAAGCATTGCTCTTAATATAGAAACTGAACATAAAGACTTGAGTTTACTACACTAAAGTTTGTTACTTCTCTGGACCATTTGCCCAATATGAGTACGTATACTAATGAGTACGTATATTAATGATCCTTATTTGCTATTTGCAAAAATACCTTGCAGTTATTAGAAAGATTATTTTCCAATATTAAGTTGTCTGAACATATAACATCAACTTATTTTTAAAGCTGAATTTGTTCCAATATTTTAAATTACATATCCATCAGAGTCCTGATTTCATTCATTTTTGTTTCACCAGTAGAAGATTTTTTGGTTCCAAAGGCCCCAGCTGCAAGTTCTCTCTTCTTCTTCTGGATCTTAAGCATATTTTCTTCAACAGAATTCTTTACAATAAACTAGAACAATTTTTTTTAAAGGTAAAGCAAAATAATTATTTTAAAAGTAAAGCAAAACAAACAAAAATAACAAAGCTTATCTCAAGGCACTTGAAAAAGAATTATAAAATATAGATGTATTATCCTACAAAGTAGCAATTAAACCAATGCTAGAAGTTACTGAAAAAATATTATTTGTTTTCAAAAGAGCAACCATGTTATTTTTGGAGGTGCAGATTGTTAAAATAATGGTAAGCTCACCTTGGTGATGATAACATCCTGTTTCTGCCCAAGTCTATGACATCTATCAAAGCACTGATCCTCCGCAGCAGGATTCCAAGCCTAAATTGTACACCAAGAAATATGTATTCATATCTAAATTTCCACAGTACTTACTTGGCCCTGACAAACTAAATTTACATCTTATTTTAGAGTAATGTTAGGAATTTCACAGTATTTTTATTTAAAATTACAACTTTAATAATAAAACCTAATACAAACTAACAAGAAAAAGGCACAGAAAAGAAAAAAAGGAAAAAATAAAATACTGAATTTAAATAAATGACTTTCCACTTTATCACAATAAGTATAAACAATTTCAATAAGTTACCACCTCTTAAAATGCAACAAATGATCTCTTCTTTCCATATCATAAACAACCATATCATATGCCATAAAAAACCCTTAAAATCTCAAAGTTTACTCCTAATAGTAAAACTCTTACAATTTACCGGAGGGTTATGAGAGATTATAACATATCCCTGATCAAATAAACCATATTATATTTCTCCCTTTTTAACAATCTTGAAGTTTAATCTTTTCAAATAGTGTTAGAATGTGATTATTTTCATTGATATTTATGTGTGTGTGTGCAAGCGCTCAAAAAAATTATTCAAGGCTTTAACCAGCCTCTTCTGTAAATCCAATATAGGAAAATTATCCACAGGTCACTCTTTTAGTTTGTTCTTTGTATATCCCTTTCAATTATTAAGGCATCAGCTGATTTCTTTTGTATGTTCAGTATTGCATTTTTCTCTGTCGTTCCTCTGCTTATATTTTAAATCTAGGTTCAGATAAGTCTCAATCTTGTTAGGTAGAACTTCATCTTCCATAAGACATTTTAAGCATTATATATAGAGACCGACTCTCTTAAAATTAACTTCCAATATGTCTAATGATAAAAAAAATGTTTATTCTGCATTTAAGTGTTCTTCTCCTTTAATTGTAACCTTTCATTCATCTGGTTCCCTCTACTGTCCATACCCCAAAATCCCATCCTATCACTTAAAAAAAAAGAATTCAAAAAATATGATTAATTCCAACAAAATTGTTCAAATCCATCTGGACCATTGGTGACTTTCTAAAATTGAAGTTCTCATCACCCTTTTGCCATTTATCCCACACACAGAGATGTTTTAAGTCCTTAACCTTATATTTAAAGCTTCTGTAAGTATTGATGTTTTCAGACTTGTCAATCCAAAGGTTCTTAATAGCTAAAAAGCAGTTAATAAGCAATTTTCAAAAAGTGATTAGAAAAGGAAGTATGTGAACCCAGTGTTGTTTTAAAAGTGCCAACCATGGTTTCACCTCATCTCCTTGTCCTGGTCAAAACCAACAGGATTTCTGTCTTGCTGTCTCCTTGTAAGGAGCAGTTATCTGAAGCACTTATGGGTCATCTCCTTGTCCAGAAAGGAATTCTGAAGAGCCAGTCTATTTGCAGGTTTCATTTGTTGTGATTGCTGGTTCCACTTATAAACTTTTAGTCATTTCTTCTTCAGAAACTTTTTTTTAAATATATATATTGTCAGGTTTCCAAGTGATTAAATTCATTTAAAAGAAAAGAACAAAGTCCATCTTCTGAGACAATTTCTTTTATTTAGGAAAGCATCAAATTTGCAAAGTCCGTGGTAATTCCAAATCTGACACAACCCAGAATTACCCCACAGTATGAGAAGTTAGAAACAACCCCCCAAAGTCACATTCTCCAAGAGAAGTAATTCAATGTTGCTTGATGTCATAAATCTCCACCTCAAGGGTCCTGAGCACTGACAGCTCATTTTCCCACGGGAAGAAGAATCACCTAGCCTAAACAACTCTATCTCCACACCTATCCCCTTAGGAATGTGGCAAGCCGGAAACCCTTCCCCCATGACTGCCAGAGAAAATAAGAAAAAGAATATATATTACGCCTAACTAAAATGGCTACACATGTCAATTTAGGGCTTGACATATACTTTTTATGTTTTATAGATAAAACACAATGCCTATTCTTATGTATATTACATCTTCTTGCATTTCAATTTCAAGTAATTATCATTATTGGGTGGGGGCAGGGACAAACATTCCATTTCCATGATAATAGATAATAATTCAGGTTTTAATCCTAACACAGCCAAATTGAAGTTGCTCCCTCCTCCCCAATACTAGAAGTAGCCTGCAAATAATT